CTCGCTAAGCTGCATGATGCTACAAACGGACTACAAAACACCCACCCAGACGCTGTGTTTATCATTGCAGGAGACTTTAGTCACACCAACCTCAAAACTGTGCTACCCAGATTCTACCAGTTTGTTGTTTTTTCAACCAGAGGAAATAACATGCTGGATCATGTATACTGTAACAATGCAAATGCTTACAAAGGAGCCATGATCAGACTACAGGGCTGTTTCGATGACACAGACTGGGTTTTGTTCAAACTGGAATCCACACAGGACAGCCACACCGACCTAAATGAATATGTATCCTCAGTTGTGTCCTACATAAACTTCTGCATGGACACTGTTACCACCTTCAACGTCATACACACTTTCCCCAACTGCAAACCATGGATGAACAGAGAAGTTCAAAAGTTGCTGAAGTCACGTGATGAGGCTTTCCGCACCGCCGACCGAGAATTTAACTCAACAGCCAGGTCCAACCTGAGGAGAGGCATCAGAGAGGCAAAGCGCTCCTACAAAGACAAAATTGAGGAGCACTTCAACACCTCTGACCCCCGGCGCATGCGACAGGGAATCTGGTACATTACCGATTACAAGAGCAGCAACACCTGCCCAACCAGCACACTGACCTCATCCCTCCCCGACAACCTGAATCAGTTCTTCACACGGTTTGACATGGTCACCAACCACCATCATACCAAGCCGACAGTGCAGGAGCCCCCCCTAAATACCCTGGTGTTCAGCCCACAAGAGGTCAGAAGATCCCTCAGGCACATCAACCCCAACAAAGCAGCCAGACCTGATGGTGTCCCTGGACGAGTGCTGAAACACTGTGCAAGTCAGCTGTCTGCAGTCCTCACCTGCCTGTTCAACATCTCCCTGAAACAAGCCACCATCATCCCCATCCCTTAACAGGCAGCGGTCAAGACCCTGAATGACCACCGTCCAGTGGTCCTGACCCCCATTGTTATGAAGTGCTTTGAGTGGCTGGTCTTAGCACACATCAAGAATAACATACCTCCCTCCCTGGACCAACACCAGTTTGCCTACTGGTCAAACAGGTCAGCTGAGGATGCCATTACACTGGCCCTCCACACTGCCCTACCACACCTGGAGCAGCGTGACAGCTATGTGCAGATGCTGTTTATCGACTACAGCACCGCCTTTAACACCATCCCCCCCCATCAAGCTGGCCATCAAACTGCACAAACTTGGACTAAACACACACCTGTGCAACTGGGCCTTGGACTTTCTGACCAACAGACCACAGAGAGTGTGCATGGGTAACCACACCTCCACCTGCATCACTCTCAACACAGGAACACCTCAGGGCTGTGTGCTCAGCCCCCTCCTCTACTCCCTCTTCACACACGACTGTAAACCCACCCATGATTCCAACATCATAATTAAGTTTGCAGACGATACAACTGTGATAGGTCTGATCTTGAACAACAACGAGTCAGACAACAGGGAAGAGGTGGAGAACCTTGAGCGCTGGAGCCAGGACACCAACCTCACCCTGAACTCAAAAAAGACAAAAGAACTGATCCTGGAATTTAGGAGACAGAAGCATGGGGGCCACCACCCCATCAGCATCGCTGGTGAGAAGGTGGAGGTGATTCAGAGCTTTCGATTCCTCGGGGTTCAGATCAGCTGTGACCTGTCATAGACCACGAACACGAACATCAGTCCTAGCAAAAAAATGACTTCAGAGGCTTCACTTCCTATGGAGCCTGAAGAAAGCACAACTGTCATAGCAGCTCTTGGTGAACTTCTACAGGTGCACCATAGAGTCAGTGATCATGTACTGCATCACTGCACGGTACTCTGGATGCACCTCAGAGAACAGGAAGACCCTGCAGGAAAGCCCAGCGGATCACTGGCACCCTGCATCCATCACTGGAAGAAATCCATCACACCTGGTGCAGCCGCAGAGCTGAAAAAATAATCAAGGACCCAACCCACCCTGGACACAAACTCTTTACACCTCTGC